TGTGTGTCTGTTGTCCGTGTAGCTGTAGCTGCTTTGTGTTGTTTTGTGGTCATATTGTGTCTTTTCGTTGGTGTTTTTTTGTTCTTCTTTGTGATCGTTTTGTGTCTCTTTGTGATTGTTTTACACCTTTGTGGTCCTTTTTTGTCAGTTAGTTTCTTTTCTGTTGTCGTTGTGTGTCTTTGTGGTCATTTTACACCACTTTGTGTTGTTTTGTGGTCATTCTGTGTGTCTTTGTCGCCTTTTTGTGTTTTGTCGTGGCAGTTTCGCACCTTTTTTTTTGTCAAGTCACATCTTCTCGGAGCTGTTTGGTTTGGTTTTGTAGTTTTTGTCCTTTTGTGTCAGTTTGATGTTGTTTAGTGTCTCTTTGTCGGTGTTTTTGTGTCTTTCTGTCCTTGTTCTGTGTCTCTTCCTGGTCAGTTTATGCCTCTTTCATGTGGCGCTGCGTCTCTTTGTGATTGTTTTACGTCTTTGTCGTCCTTTTCTTTTGTCGGTTTGTGTTCCTGTAATCATTTTCCATTTCTTTCATGTCGTTTTGTGTCTTTGTGGTCATTGTCTGTGTAGCTGTAGCTGCTTTGTGTAGTCTTTGTTGTCATTTTGTGCCTCTTTGTAGTGATTTCTCTCTTTTTGTCAGTTTGATGTTGTTTTGTGCCTCTTTGTGGCGGTTTTTCTATCTTTGCTGTCCTGTTATTGTCTCTTTTTTGTCAGTTTCTTTCTTCTTTGTTGTCTTTTTGTGTTTCTGTAATCATTTTCCATCTCGTTCGTGTTTTGTGAACTTCTGTTGTAACTGTGTGTGGCTTTGTTGTCGGGTCCTTTGTTATTTTGTGTCTGTTTTTGGAGTCACTTTTTTTGTTGTTTGAATGCTTGTGGTCGTTTTCCATCTCTCTGTCATTTTGCCTGTTTTTGTTGTCGTGTGTTGCTCATGTTTTGTGTTGTTTTTGTGTTGGTCTTTTGTTCTTTGTTTTGTTTTCCAGTTTTTGTCGTCATTTGTGTCTCTTTGTGTTTGTTTTGTGTCTCAGTCTCTGTGGCCAGTTTGTCACTTTCTGCCGTTTGGAGTCCCACCTTCTGTTGCAGGTCGTTTTCTGGTCGTTTTTTCGTTTTTCTTTCTCTGTTGTTACCAAATCAGTTCAGAAATGCGTCTCTGGAAACACCTGAGGACACCAGCTGCTGGATCTGTCCTCACTGTACTTTCATTCCAGCTCTGGCTCCATTTTTCCTTCATACCTGAGTGACAATAAATCAGGTCGTAAAGATTCTGCAGCAGCGCCTCCAGCGGCGGAGACGCGCTGCTGCAACAACATCCTCCTCCTCCTCCTCCTCCTCCTCTCCATCCTTCCGTCCCTCCTCCTCCTCAGTGGTACCGGACACACCGACCTGCCTCCGCGCTTTGTTGCAGCTCCGCATCCAGAGCGCACCGANACCAGCTATCCACCATGAAAACACAAACTCACCCTGAAGGTCTCATTTCTACTCCTCTAACATCTACAGAATAACGTGGACACTGAGAAACAGCAGACAGACGTCATGAACACTGAGAACTAAAGAAAAGCAGCAGGAAACAGCTGAAAACAAGTCCAGCTGACCTTCTGACCGTTCAGTCACCGTTAAGTTTGTCTCTGTGGCTGTTTGTTGCTGAATTAAACAAGACTTGGACTCATTCATTCTGTTGTTTTCTTCATTCAAACTTCTCTACATGTTGGATTCTCACAGTAACCCTCAACATTTAAACAGTTTCCTCTAAATCACGTGTCAGAGTCACTTTATGTGAGCAGCCAGAGCTGATGAAGCAGATGCTGAAAGTGGCTGGTGGTCATGTGACAGAAAACACTGACAGTTGTGTGACCAACATAAAACCACGACAGAAACTCATGCAGAAGTTCAAGAAAAGGTCTTTGTTTCACCTTGATCATCTTCACACAGTTAGAACTCTGCATTTTCTCTCACTTCTATGGAACACTGCATTTTCACGGTTCCTTTATTCCTGACAGCGTCTCCTGCTGCACTGACTGATAACTGAGGTCACTGATTGAAGCATTAAAGGGCTGATTCAACACAAAACACAGCTCAGAGTTCCTCCTTAATACTAACTTGTATATTTTAAACCTTTAATTCAAGGTGTCTGTGCTGTAATTGAAGATGGCTGCTCAGAGTTACATGATGGAAAACTGTCTAATTAGCATAATGAGGTGATTATCAGGTACAATAACAGTAGAATCATGTGGCCTTTGTAGTCACCAGTGACCATCAATAGATATCCACCACTGTGTAGAAAGTGGTCCAGTCTGCACCAGACTGTCCTAAAAGAGCCTTTAGACCACAGTTTCCAGTTTGTGAACCCTTTATTCTACTTGTCAAAATGCAGAACAGCAAGATTTGGTGGTTTTAGATCTGGACCAGGTCTCATGTTATCGACATGTGGAAACAAGCAGTGAAACCTTCCTCGTTTGCATTTTCACTAAATGAATAAAGTTGCCACAGATGAGAAAGTGTTTCAGACAGCATGAAGTCTTCACCTGCAACGTCTCACAGGGTTTGACATCATTAAAATGTGGATGAAAACAGAGAATCTGAGGCTCAGCGCTGGAAGTGAAGTTTCCCATAACTTTGCCCTTAACTTGAGGGTCGTGTGTCAGTTTGAACAGTGTTGTATGGAGACAGCTGCAGCTGCTCACTGTGACCACTGGAGGGCGCTGATCCTCAACCCTCATCTCTTCTCATTCTTCATTCTTCATTCTTGGCACTTCTACTTTAGTAACCGGATACTTTTTACCTTTACTCAGATGATTGGATCCTTTGGACTTTTACTTGAGTAACTGGATACTTGGCACTTTTTCCAAACAGTCTCAAAGTACAAAACCAGCCGAAAACCACAGAGGAAAGAGGAGCATAAGGAAAGCAACAGGCAGGTAAACATCAGGGGAATGAACAAGGTACTAAAACTAAAAACACAAACCAAACACAGACAAAGGAAGCAGGAAGCAGAACACAGATGCAGTGAACAGGCAGGTGATCCAGCAGGTTACAGACAGAAGATAAAACAGGACAAAATGTCAGAGAGCAAAGGAAGACGCAGGATTATTATCACAGAGAGAACTAATGTGGAGACGAGACACAGATGAGTCACAAGATGCAGGTGAACCAGGGCAGTCTAAAGAGGAAGTACAACAACGAGCAACACTCCAGGAAAGGTGATTTCAAAATAAAACAGGAAATAACTGAAAAAGGATGTAAAACCTGCACACAGACACACACACAGGCAGAAACAAGAAACACAGGAATGAATGAAAGAAAATAAAACTAGAAACCATAAACCAGGACAGACAGCAGAAGAGGAGGACCAGAAGTCAGGATGGGAATAAATGAAAGTGTCTGTGGGAGCCGTGAGGAGGTTTGTGCTCAGAATAACTCTTGATCCTGTGAACAGCCTGAAACTCAGTCCAACCAGTCACATTGCTGATGAAGGTGTGGCAGCAGCCTGAACACACTGATGAAGCAGCGTCGCTTCACTTTGTCTGATAGAAGTTTGACTTAGAGTGAAGCACAAAGCTGCTTTTCCACACAGGCCTGCTGTGGACAGAAGAGAGCTGACACTGATGAAGTTCATGGCTGAAAGCTCGGTAAGTGGACCTGTGATCGTTTCTTCCAGCTCCAGACAAGCAGCGACGTGTTTGGCTGTTTTGTTGAAGTGCTGGTGAATGTGTGACAGTTGGAGGTGTTTGCTGCTTTCACAAAGGAACAGGAGAACGTCCCTGTGAGTGTTGAATGACCGGAGGATGATTCATACGTTCATGTGGAAGCAGTGTTTCTCTGTTCTACGTGGTGGAGCTCATGTGAACTGCTGTGGAGTTTAGAACAAACATGTAGTCAGGAAACGGTGACTTTTGTACATGTTGGGGTCAGAAACTGCAGCGTCACACAAACGGAGCTCAGTGAAGAGTATCAGTTAGTTAGTTAGTTACCTGGTTAGTGGTCAGATGCTGTCCTGACCTGAGGAGACTCAGCTGACTTCAACAACAGGAGAGTCTGTCGGGATCACGGGAGGTTTGTGGAGCTGCATTTGTCTCAATATTATCTGTGAACAGAATGACAATCTGTGTGGAGATATGTGGCCTGTAAATACAGAACAGTTTCTGAAAATANGGGACGGACGCACCGAGCACCGGGACGGACCCACCGAGCACTGGGACGGACGCACCGAGCACCGGGACGGACTCACCGAGGATGCAGCGGGAGCTCGCGGGCCGTTTGCTCCGGTAAACGAGCAGCAGCAGGAGTCTGGAAATCACCGGCGGGAAGAAGCGGCGGCGGCGGCGGCGGCGGTGGGGGGGAACTCGGGGACGCGGCCATGGCGACGGGAGGCGGCGGGAGGCGGCGGAGGGCGGCGGGGCTCCCGGGACTGTGGTGCTGGAGGAGCTGCTACGTGCCGCTGCTGCTCTGGGTGGTGTCGGTGTGCGGGGAGGAGAAGACGTTCATCGTGGAGGTGAGTCCCGGAACCGAGCGGCGGCTCCGGCAGGCGCAGCCCGACGCGCGGCCGCTGAAGTCGGCTTCACGCTCAGCGGAGCGCCGCTGGCTGAGGGGAAAGTTAAGGGACTAAGAAGTGCAGGGAGTCTGCTGTGTGCGCGCTGTGACGGTGGAAAGCTGCGTTAGACATTTTAGATGGTCTGAAAACACTTTAAAATGCATAAAATCACGATTTCTCTGTTTGTTTGACATCGAACCAGATCCAGAACCACCAGGTAGAGCCAGCCACATCTGGACCAGATGGTCCTGCAGAGGCTGAGAAGTCTTTAAAGCACAGTGCTTGATTTGCAAAACCATAATTCTTTTTCTAAAATGCATATATATATGTATAGATATATATATTTCATTGTTGTTGGGGTTTTTTTTTGCATCTGGCCCACTTTAGACCAGATCCAGATCTAAACCCACCAGATGCTGATCAACACATCTGGACTAGATTGTCCTACTCAGACTGAAGAGTTTTTAAAACACAGTTTTTCATTAGCAAAGCTGTTGTTCTCGGTGTTACAATGCAACATAAATGGACATTTCCAGATCAACACCCACCAGGTACAGATCATAACATCTGGATTAGACTGAAGATCATTTAATCCACATCCACAGGCTCTGATTTGCAAAACCTTAATTCTGTTTGTGAAAGTGCAGAAATGAGGATGTGACTGCATGTGGACCACGTTAGACCAGATCCAGATCTAAACCCACCAGGTACAAATCGACAACATCTGGATTAGATTCTCATACGGAGGCTGAAGAGTCTTTGAAACACAATCTCTGATTTGCAAAACCGTTGTTCTCTGTGTTAAAATGCAAAATAAATGGATATCTCAGGTCATTAGGCCAGATCCAGACCTGCTCCGGTGGGTCCAGTCTGGACTGAACCATTTAAGTAACTTTTCTTTCCTGTTTGTGAGAACGCAGGAGGAGATATGTCATCTTTTATTTACCTGTAAATGAGTTCAGGTCCGGATTTAAAACCACTTTATGTATAAACAGTCAGATCTGGATTAAACGAAGGCTGAGAAGCTGAAGACTCTTTAAATCACTTCCTGATTTGATGTGTTTTAATGCTGTTGCTGACCAGATTAGACGAGGTGCAGATTGAAAACCATCACGTGTAATCTCTGGTTTTTTGCTTTTTCACAAATCGGCTGAAGGTTTCACGAATCATAAACTATATTTAAAGAGTTTTCTGCCTCTGTGGCACGATTCAGCCCAGATTTGGCCAGTTTGTAGTCTACCAGTTCTCATCTGGACCGGTGGATTCGAGATTCAGATAAAGACCCTGAATGTTTCTGGAAATGTTCCTTCATCACATTTTTACAAGTAAAATAAAGGTTTTTATAAAACAGAAATTGTTTTATAATGTAAACCTGGTTTAATGTGTCCAGATGCAAAAAACTGGAGCTTTCAGGAAAAAAAGTCTCAGAAAATATCAGGAAGTGTCAAAGTTTTAACTGTAAAGTTCATTAAAATGTGGAGAACGTCACCTTAAGTTTCCCTTAACTTTTCCCTTAAGTGCTGAGCTGGAAGCTGACTTCATCCTGAGCTCCATCAGAGGAGAGTCTGGGAGCTCAGGGGGAATATCAAGGCTGTGTGTGTGCACGTGTGCGTGTGCACGTGTGATTTTAAATCCACTGATAATGAAGGTAGTCCTCCTGCATCACTTTAAGGGATGTTTTCATGACAGTAAAACAGCCGACAGACGCAGGAAGCTGAAGTCTTTGTTTCCTGTTTGCTGTGTTCCCACACTGAGGTGCTTTAATTTGCTCATCAGGCTCATTAGTCGTTATTTCTGATTCTCTTTAGGCCCCAAACCTGCAGGATTCTGTTAAAGACGGTGAGAAAGCTGCAGATTGTTCTCTGCTGGGCTCATGTTCGGGATCTTTGTGTTGTCAGTAAATAACCATCAGCTGTTATCAGGCAGCTTTAAAGGGAACCTTTCATGTGCTGCTGCTGAACAAAGCGTCTCCAGACTCTGCCTCTCTGAGTCCAAATATAGCCTCCCCTCCATAATTTATGGAAATGGCAGCGAGCTGGAGCAGAGACGGAGGCAGGAGGTGCACGCTGATAAATCCAGAAATCCTCCTGCGCTGGATGAAGCGGCTCTTTGTCTGCTGCTGCTGCTGCTGCTGCAAACTTCTTTGTTGAACGTGGAGCTGCTGCTTGTTGTTGTTGTTGTTGTTGTTGTTGTTGTTGATGAGATGCAGCTTGTATCTGCAGGATTCCTGGTTGGGAGTCGTGAACCTGAGTGACTGGAGATCAGAGCTGCCGTTATTTAGTCGTGTTTGTGTTGCTGGTGACACTTTGATGCAGACAAAGGCAGCGCCTGCAGCGGCTGCCAGCAGCAGCCACAATCACAACCCCGCCGCCGCTGCCATTGTTGTTGTTGTCACGCTGATGCGCCGCTCGGATCCGACAGGGTTCGACTACAAAACGGTACAAATGAGGGGAATGAGCCGCCTGCAGGGCTGCAGCTGATGGTTCTTCTCATTATGGGTCAAAAAGCTGCCAAACAGCGTTGCACAACCAGAGTGACGTCTGCAGAGTCTTGTTTTGTCCAACAAAAGTCCAAAAATACCCGGTTCACGGTGATGCACGACGAAGGAAAGCAACAAAGCTTTCATCCTGAGACACTAGAATCTGCAAATATTTGTCATGTTGTCCTTCTTGTTGCTTGAAATCTTTGCTTTTAGTTCATTTATTTTCATCGTCACTTCACTGTTTGCTCATGAAACATCAGACAAGTGAGCGATCTCTCTACAGTCAGTAGAACATCTGAAAGCCAGCTGCCTTTATTCAGCATCTCAACTGAGCTTCTGTTGGTGCAGAAAACACAAAGCATTTGCATGAAAATATCTTATGAAAGGCTGGAAATATTCATGTTGAAGCTTGTTTTGTCCAAGAAACTGTCCTGAACTGAAAGAGACAAGTCCAAAGATATTCAGTTCACGGTGATGCACGACGAAGAAACGCAACAAAACCTCCAGATATTTGGACTTTAGTCCATATTTTATCCTCAAATCTTCATGTTTCGTGCTTCAACTAACAATTATTTTGTTTGTTCATAAATTGCAAAAGAAGTTGCCCAAAAATGTTGCACCGCTGGTCGTGACGTCTTCATGAATGTGTTCAACCGAATGTCCAAAAATATTCAAACATTCAAATCACAGAGATGCACGACAAAGAAAAGCAGCAAAGTGCTTCTTCTGACACTCTGAGATCTGCAGGTATTTGCATTTTTTCATCATTTTTTCTGGAAAAACTTTTTGGAAATAGTTGTCGTATATCTCGTTTGAATCCAGCTGTGATTCTGTCGATGCAGAAAACAGCTTTTGCATGAAAACGTCTTAAGAAAACCTGAAAATGTTCAGATTTAAGGAAGAGTTTAAGGCTGTTTGGTTGTTAACATGGAAAAAAACTGTTGTAGAGGTCAGAGTGACGTTCGACCAAAAGCCCCAAAACATTCACATATCCAGTTTAATGTAAAGACAAAGATCACATCTTGTGAAACCTGCAAATATTTGGTGTGTTTTCATTATTTTTGCTGGAAATCTTCACATCTGAGGCTGATTTTCTTCATCACTGATCAACTGCTTGTTTATAAAACGTCCAAAAGCATCCAGATGAAGAAAAGCAGCAAATCTTCTCCCCTCAGGCGATAAAATGTGCAAATATTGGACATTTGGATGCTCCCAATCAGAAGTCTTAAAAGAAGTAGGAAAGTACAAATATATAATAAAATATAAAGTATTAATATGAAAATAAAACNACAACAACCTGTAAACTCTCAGATATGGTATAGAAAATAAACACACACACACACACATACACACACACACACAGTGTTTTGTGTCTTTGTGGAAAGTGTTTCTTTAAACTTCCTGGAAACGCTGAATCGTCACGGTTTCGCTTACAGGGATCTGCCAGTCTTGAGTGAATCTCTAGTGAACCTCATATTCTGCTGTAATCACTTCTACAGTAATTCACTGTTTAGGTCAATCAAAGCTGGAACACTGTGAAGTCACAGTAAAATACCGGCGCCAGTATTTTACTGTGACTTTACAGGACAGTTGGTTGCAGTGCAGGATGATGGAAACCTGTGGATCGATCCCTCTGGGTTGGACCTGAGTTGCTGCTTCAGCTTCAGTTTCTCAGGATCTCGTTCACAGTGACGGAAAATGGAGCGTGAAATGGACGGATGGATCGGTGCCGTCGTGGTGCAGAGGGAGCTGAGCTGGAAGGTGAAGCTCTGGATTCATCTTGATTTATTGATCTAAACCTGATCTACGGTCACGACTCTGATTAGAGACCAAAGAAGGAGAAACAAGCAGCTGAAAGGTGTTTCCTCTGTCGGGTGTCTGGGCTCAGCCTCAGAGAGCAGCTGAGGAGCTCAGACATCTGGAGAGTCGCTGCTCCTTCAGCTGAGGAACTTCAACATCTTTCAGCGTGCAGGTTGTTGTTTCCTGTAGTGACGAGGATTTAGAAAACAGTAACAGATGACGGGGAGCAGAAAGCTGCGTGAAACATGAGGCAGGCTGATAGCAACAATCTACATCCAGTGAGAGCCCCAGGTAGACCCAGAACTCTCTGGAGGGATTACACGTCTCCTCTGGCCTGGAACACCTCAGGACCAACAGGAGCAGCTGGAAAACACTGCTGGAGAGAAGGATGTCTGGAATGACTTGCTGAGTCTGCTGCCACGGAGACCGACTCTGGATAAGAAGAAGAAGAAGATGGATGGAAGGTCCTGACTGTCGTCCTGCTGCCTCACACTCATCTGAAACCACCTCCGGTCCTGCTCAAGGTCTTGGTCTGATGAATCTAACAGAACCACTCAGTGTCCAGGCAGCTCCAGTAGCTCAACTGGTTGAGCAGGCGACCCATAAACAGGAGCTATAGTCCCGACTCAGCGGTCATGGGTTTGAGTCCGACCCATTTGCTGTATGTCCTTCCCCCACT